TAATTATAGAAACCCCTTACAAAAAATAATTATGTTAATTGTTCACCTTGCGATTGCTTGAAAATCGTCCGATTTGAATAACCAATGGCTTAAATGAAAGCCGGCATTTCACTGAAGGTGCTTAGACCAAAATATATAAGATTATATAATTATAATAATTATAACTGGTGAAATACATCTTAAATTGAAGTGAGAATTCGGAAATAAATCAAATTTATACGTTTTTTGGTCGAGTAATACAGTAGATAAATATATGCCGATATAGATGGGAAATATGTGCGTGCGCACCTTCAATTTGAGACCTCAATCATGAAAATCGGTTGAGAAGAGCCAAACGAACTCGGAAAAGAACAACAATTTTTTCACATATATAAGATGACATAAAGGTTTCATGTAACGTTGCCTTGTCTCTACGCAAAAAGCCCGTTACGTAATCAATGTTAAGTCCCTAACCAGTCTAATGTAAGATCTAGAGCCTACACGTTACATGTTAACTCTACTTATCGCAGCTCTGCCAAAGACTGCCAGTTTAAGGCCAAGGTCATTCGTATCTGGGCGTAGATTTATCGATGTAAAAATTTCTTTAAGATTTTTTTTTTTTATTTTACCACCAACGTAACTGCATTATATTATTGAGCCGGAAACAGCCAAATAGACCCATAATCGATGCTAATTGACCCATCGATTCGATCAGACAATTACGCAAAAATAATGTGAACTCGTGAATCAGTTCTTTCTCTGAATCCTTCCCTGAAGTAATAATTAATTTCAAAGCCAATACATCAATGACTAAAGGAGAATCAACACACCACCCAGATGTATCTTATCAATGATAAATATTATGACAATTCTGGTAACAACACGCCAAAATTATTCATTCTATTATTGAACTACTCATTACACAAACCGTAAACACATTCTACCTCAATATTTGAACCGTTTTCAATGCAAACGCGTAATAATTCAATCTTTATTATCCACAAGTGCACTAAAAACCACACAAAATTAAAACAAAACACTGCAAATGAAATAACAATTAAAACCAATTAACAGCTGATTTCTCTTTTGATTGTTGTGACGAGACATTCAAATACAACGACCAATCAAATCAGCGTATTTCACATTAGATCGTATGACGTCATACCGCACTAGGCAAGCCCATTAACTCTTCAAGTTTCATGTTCCTTGTTCCTAACAAGCTCCTCGTAAACAACGCTGGTAGCGGCAATGTTTACACGATGGTTGTACTTTCAGGCTAAACTTAGTCTAGAGGCCGAGGTAAAAACGCTGATCTTCCTCACGTGTATTTCTGTCTTGTTCAACATTCGTGCCCACGCGTGGCACCACAGTCTACTGCCACTGATGAAACACACGCAACAATTGCGACGAATGCTTGAAGTTATTGTGCGATTTCGTCATCCAGTGGAATAGCCTATTGGCCTATTGTAAAGTCGAGTACAGAATCTATAGCAGTACTAGATTACCATTGACTTTGGAAACTGCAAATAGACTTCAATGTGCCTATTTGAGGCACAAAAGTTATTGTGTAATTGATTTTCACAATTTTAGCCCTTCTTTAGTTTACTGGAGGACATTTGGCAAATTGATTAATAATTTAACTAGTTTTGAAGTTAATAATGCGATACGTTATTAATTTTAAAAGAAATTATTTGATTAAAGAAACGATTTAAAAATTTATTTATGTTAAAAGTTTATTTAATCTTAAACCATTAACTAGAGATGCACTCGACTGAGCACGTAGAGGAAGACTATAAGAGATGTTTCAAGGCCAACATGATGATAAAGACCACGTGGTAGAGGAGGTGTCATTATGTCACCTTCATCCTCAACACCACATGATCAACTGTACATAAGACACAATGTAACATGGAATACTGTCCTATCCATGTTGTGTTTGCACTAATTGTTATAATTAACACCACGTGGTTGAGGAGGTGTCATTATGTCACCTTCATCCTCAACATCACGTGATCAACTGTACATAGGACACGATGTAACATGGAATACTGTCCTATCCATGTTGTCTTTGCACTAATTGTTCTTATTAACAACACATGGTTGAGGAGGTGTCATTATGTCACCTTCATCCTCAGCATCACGTGATCAACTGTACATAAGACACAATGTAACATGGAATACTGTCCTATCCATGTTGTCTTTGCAGTAATTGTTATAATTAACACCACTTGGTTGAGGAGGTGTCATTATGTCACCTTCATCCTCAGCATCACGTGATCAACTGTACATAGGACACAATGTAACATGGAATACTGTCCAATCCATGTTGTCTTTGCACTAATTGTTATAATTAACACCACGTGGTTGAGGAGGTGTCATTATGTCACCTTCATCCTCAACATCACGTGATCAGCTGTACATAGGACACAATGTAACATGGAATACTGTCCTATCCATGTCGTCTTTGCACAAATTGTTCCAATTAACACCACGTGGTTGAGGAGGTGTCATTATGTCACCTTCATCCTCAACATCACGTGATCAACTGTACATAGGACACGATGTAACATGGAATACTGTCCTATCCATGTTGTCTTTGCACTAATTGTTCTAATTAACACCGCGTGGTTGAGGAGGTGGCATTAAGTCACCTTCATCCTCAACATCACGTGATCAACTGTTCATAGGACACAATGTAACAAGGAATACTGTCCTATCCATGTTGTCTTTGCACTAATTGTTCTTATTAACACCACGTGGTTGAGGAGGTGTCATTATGTCACCTTCATCCTCAACATCACGTGATCAACTGTACATAGGACACAATGTAACATGGAATACTGTCCTATCTGTGTTGTCATTGCACTAATTGTTCTTATTAACACCACGTGGTTGAGGAGGTGTCATTATGTCACCTTCATCCTCAACATCACGTGATCAACTGTACATAGGACACAATGTAACATGGAATACTGTCCTATCCATGTTGTCTTTGCACTAATTGTTCTTATTAACACCACGTGGTTGAGGAGGTGTCATTATATCACCTTCATCCTCAACATCACGTGATCAGCTGTACATAGGACACGATGTAACATGGAATACTGTCCTATCCATGTTGTCTTTGCAGTAATTGTTCTAATTAACACCACTTGGTTGAGGAGGTGTCATTATGTCACCTTCATCCTCAACATCACGTGATCAGCTGTACATAGGATACTATGTGACATTAACATGGAATACTGTCATATCTATTTTGTCTTCTTATGTGAGTTGAATGAGGTGTAAAATTGGTACCAAAATCTCAAGAACCCTAATCTTCAAAATCTCGAGACCTTACTACATGGTATAACATGGAGTACCGGTACTTCATATTGTCTTTGCCCTAAGATATTACTTGTTTTAATGAGGTGTAAAAGTTGTACTAATCTCAAGATATGCAGAGTGTTGCATGTAATTCTGTCCATTCCATGTTTTCTTGGTTATAAGTGATATAAGGTAATTCTGTCCATTCCATGTTTTCTTGATAAGTGATATAATTAAGAGTTAATGTACCGGGTGTCCCATGAAGAGGTCCCTATTTTTTAATTAATATATTAAACGCCGAACACTCTACAAACCTGAAACTCAAAAGTCAGAACAAACATATGTAAAAGAAATACCCCTGAGTATCAGTTAATTCTGACACATTAGGACAAAATGGTGGGATATCAATGAAATAGTACTTTCTCGATAACTTAAAATACGATTGCTGAGTTTGTTGTTTTTTTGTTCTTCCGCCATTTTGTTTGGCTCTGACAGAATTAATTGAGACTCATGGGCAACACCTTTACATATGTGTTAGTCTCGACCTGCAAAATTTCAATTCTGTAGCGTGCTCTATACGTCTGTCATATAAATTAAAAAATAGGGACCTCTTCGTGGGACACCCGGTATATTCACAGTAAATGTAAACCACAAATTCAAGCAGTAATGATTTTTGAACTATGATATATTCTGGTTTTCAAGTTAGCATGCTGAATTCAGTGGTTTTTACTTGAGTACAAGTGTACAGGCAAATCCTATACTAGGCCTATTATTACAAATAATGGGAGAAGCACTCAGATTACAGGTGCTAATAAGTGTAGTGTGCTGCAGGCTGCTCTGTGCTAAATCTTGTGCTTTTCCTTATAATCATACGGGAACGGGAAAAGCATTATTTAGTACACAAATTTGGTAATAATGTAACATCAGTGTTTGTAAAAAGGTGTTTTTTATTAATAGAAAAATACTTGCGCATTTTAAGCTAAACAATTATATTTTAATAATTATTGTTTTTACTTTTTTACTATGTAAATCTGTAGCCTCTGGATGACACTACAATTTGTTGGTTTAAATATAAAGATTTTCCTTATCAATTTTAACTCTGTGATGGAATCCACAGAGTATGAAGCTCTGGTCCCACCCAAGGTTGGATATTTTAGATTCTCCTACAGACTATATCCGCTTATAAAATTAACTGCAGGAAATGTCCAGTTGCCAAGAATTTGTGTGGAATGGCTCTATAAATAGTTCTTCTTGTCATTAAATCTCTTAATTTGTCTATAAAAATAAACCTTTTTACTTAAGTATTTTTAAAATTTAAAAATAAAAACCAAGGGTGTTTTTCACTAGCTGTAATTTTTTGAGTACCGTATTACTCAATCCTAATATTCTATTGCCTATCCACAAAGATGGTTAAGTATTATAAAGAAACATTTTAGGTGATTTGGAAATTTAACAGCAAAATTTTTATGGTCAAATAGCATCTCCAATGTTAAGTAGGTATGACTAATATCGTAAACATGTTTTCAACCAAAAACAAAAGAATACTTCCGAGTAATTCGCGAATCGAACCAATTTGTTCTTGTGAACCGGTAATCAGGGAATTTCACAAAGTCATGCCCTAGACCTTGAAGTGTGAGTTTTGCTGAACAGAAAAAAGTGGGGAGACATTAAATTGAACAATGCATTAGCTGTGGCCACTGGCTACTGTTGAGAACACAGTGGACTGTGGAGTGGACTGAGTTGAGTTGTTTGGTGGCAAATTGTGCAGAAAACTTGGTGATTAAGATTTCTCTGCTTTAGTCTAGTCTCAAGTGCCAGTGTGTTGTGTGGCTGTGTCAACTAATCATGAAAGGCGAAAAGACGAACTATTGGAAATGTATGTACCTATATTAAAGATGTATTACTGGTACCTTTTTTTTATAAAACATAAAAAAATATTTTATAAAAAATATTTTTTTATAAACATGTTGGTTTTTGTGATTTGGTATAAAGTTCAGCTCTATAGAATTATTATTTTTTTATTGTTAGTAAATTTATTTGCTTGGCTATTTTGTGAATAGTAATATTTAGATTTTTGATCCAATTAATTTAATCATACCCAGAGATTTATAGAGATTTGTATTTTTGGATATTTTTGTATCATATTCGTACCCTTTTGTGTAGAGTTTGTGTATAAGTCTTTTCTGTCAACATTAATTTTTCTGAATGAGAACGATTTTCTTCTATTGTTTTATGTTCTGTCAAAATGTTGTAATTTTTCAGTAAGAGACCGAGTAGTTGAATAATTTTGTTCACAATTCCAATAAGTATATCCTTTTTATTTGCATTAAATTTTGATACGTCATTGATTTGACTGAGTTACGCAGAAAAAATAATTTCAGTATAATTAACCTAATACATCTTCTTAAATCTTTATGCTAAAATATATGCGTATAAAGGTCTATTTTTATTATTTTTACTGCAATTATTTTATTATTTATTATTTATTTGGTTATTTATGAAATTTTATTATTTATTCTTTTCTCATCTTGGTATCATTGAGATCTCTCTGCATGTATTGACACTTACTGCTCAATAAAAACAAATCATTGATAAAAGGTCATCTACTTGAGAACCAAATACCGACAACATAAACTATTACGCAAGTTAGTTTTTCTTAAAATCTCAGTATTTAAACCAATAACAGATTTAAATTCAAACATTTTATCAATTTTAACAGTTATATACAAAATTAACTATAAGTTAAAACTAAATATTTTTTTATGCTGTACAAAGCCTATTCATGTGATGGTTTTATGAGTAAATTTGCCGTTTTGCAACAAAGTTTTGTGACAAAAGTTTAGGCTACATAGAAAAATTAAATATTATATTGATCTAAATATGAAATTTCGAAGCGAGATGAGTAGGCATGAGTGTTGTTTTATTAAACAGCTTAAATTTATATTTCTTAAACATTAAAATAATTACTACTATAGCAAATAACATTACACAAATGAAAATATTCTAATCCTTTCTAAAAGGACAATACTCATGAAGGAAAAAACTATTTTGAGTTGGAAATTCCAAGTTCAAGTTTAAAATATCAACAGGAAAGTTACATTTGTTGACTACATTTTTGGCAAAGGAACTAAAACATGATTCAGTGGACAGACAACTATGTTTGGTTATGTTTGTGTCCAGTCCAGATACAGACTATCCATTGTTACATACTTTTAAACCATCGATATATAACTACTACAGTAGTAGTAGTTAGTAGTAGTAGTAGTTATATATCGATGTTTCAAACTTACATTTTCCTATCCCTTTTAACATTTAAAAAATTATATTAAAAATAACACATAGCTTTTAAGATAAGCAAACATATGTTTTATTCATTGTAATTTATAGATTTCTAATGTAGTTTTTAAAGACGTTTTTGTTGAGTTTTTATTAATTGGGTTATGTCCACCCCATGCTTCTTCAACTTAAACTTTGTCTGTTAAACTTAGTCTTCGCCAGTTGTCTTAATTGTGTCAACAGTCAGATTTTGAATAATACTTCACTCAGTTGACAGAAGTTTACATACATTTTCTCTGCAATACAATTCAGTTTTCTATTAAAACAATCAGTAAGTCTGTTTCCAAGAAGGAAATGTCCAATCCAGACATTAGTCAGCAAGCAGCAGGTGCAAAACAGCTGATCACAGCTGTGTTATCTGAGTGCTGAGTTCTTAGAAGTACATATGGCTACAAGATAATTTGTGACTAGAATAAAACAGCTGTTCATTCACAATTCTGAACATATCAAAAAGTTTTTGAAGAATAGGCTGTCCAATCTTATATGTTTTTGGAATGAAACAAACAGTTGATCTGTAATGTTTGTGATTGTTAAATACTCTACATCTACAATGGAATAAGTGCAATATCTACATATAGAAGTACACACCAATTTTTCAAAGACTTCAGAATCCAAAAGCACCCCCTTCACTCTATCTTGTAGTAGTATCTCTTCTTGTTCGTGACAAATTTCATCAAAAATTATAAGACCTAAAATTATAAGAGTAGTGATGTTTTTTAAGTTGATACAAATTTAGAGCAGTCAAATTAATTATACAATGATATACACTAGGGAACACAAAAATAGTGAAATTGAGGCAATAACAAGCAGACACCAGTCTTTGCACTTGCCCAAGGTCGGGGCATCAAAGGACCATTTTGTACTGTTATGTAGGGTCTTTTTATGGTTATATTGTCCCTATTCAATGAGAAGTCTTAGAACAAAAAATGTGCTAAAAGTGGCCTTAGCTAAAAAAAAATAACAGTCCCAAGTATTTGTCTTGTATTATATAAAGAATACTACATGTTATGTAAATATAAAAATAATAAAATATTATATTAAGTAACAGTAACAAAAATATATGGAAAATACCTTATAAATGCACAACCATTATATTCCTCTTAACTCAACTACATTTCAAGATTATAAAGTAATTACAGTAAATGAATTTATTAGTGGATCCAAATAAAATATTACGATTTTAAGGAATATTTTCTTTTATAGAATCACAAAAAAACTATTTTTAATTGATAAGTAATATTTAGTCTATTTACTAAGGGGTGCGACAAAATGTAATTTATTTTACTGAATCCTTATTTATTTTCATTCACTATGAGGATAACCAAGCTAAAAAAAAATACACAGGTCTAAATTCTTTTTGTCTTATATAAAAGGCTTTTAACGATATCCTGTTTTTGAAGAACAACACAGGGATAAACACAAGGAAAGTGATGCAACCCATTCATTAAGTCTGGAAGCAGGCCAGAACCTAAACATAAATCTTAGCACTGACAAATTAAGGAAAATTCCAGAAAAAAATAACTATTGTCATTGTTGTCACTTCCTGGGTTGGTATTGTTGATGATATCACTTTAATTAATGTGCTATTAGCTCAAAAGAAATAGTTTTAAATCAAGATTGTTTTGTTATTTTGGGAATATTTGACAACAGTTGTTAAGTTATATTTCATTACCAATTAGATGGGAATACGAGCTCTAGATGGATTTTTAACCCAAATATGAGTGAAGGATGAGCGTAGAATGAAATGAAGCTTCTTGAACTTTTTTACTGACCAAGACCGAGTGACCAAGAAATATATGGTTGGTAATTTTTGTAAGAGTAAGCGTGCTATGTTTTACATTTCGCTTTTATCACCAACCTACTATAATATGTTGTCTACTCATTACTTTTTCATATAATGTTAAATAAATAATAAGATGTTGTCTAAGGAATTTAAGTTTGTTTACCTTAGTTTATTAATCTTATCTTGATCCTTATAGTTAAAACTCCAATTCTAACAATATACGAGGGCTGTTCGGAGAGTAACCTCCGTTTACTTCTTGCAGAAACAATTGTAATAAGGATCAAACAAATTTTTATTTTACATTTTACATTATTAAAGTACACCTCATTCAATTTTCAACATTCTTTTTATCCTCTAATTTACATACAATGTCACTTTTCATTATAACATTGTCATTTCATGATACATACTGCAACTTTGGTCAAGTTTATACAATAACACTTTTTTTAATGTTTGAAGCTCTTATTTTTAAAATTAGTTATTACATATAACAAGATGGGGTGGGGACATTGCTAAGATGGATTTTTAGCCCAAATATCAATGAAAAATAAGTATGGGATGAGTGAAATACCTGCAACTGTATTACCGATGAAAACAAACTCTTTAAGTAGCGCAATGACTTTGTAAAAAAATTTAGTCTGGGAATATTTGAATTTTGGATAGTTCTGCGGCGGCCGCTAGGTAGACTATCGCGAGGGCACGGCAAAGTCAGCTGACAGAGTGTGAGAGAGCGCGAAGCTCATTTCGGCAGCAAATTCCAGTCTGACTATTCCTATTCTCCATAAGCATTTCGGTTCTTAAAGAGTTTATATTCATTGGTATTGACTAAAACCAGCTGTTTCTTTAGCCAAGATCGTTTATAAAAGCCCAATGATCAGGGACAGCTGGGTTCAGATTGAACCATTAAGCTACTGACTTTTCTCAGAATCCACTCACAACATCCAGATTATTAGTGGACTACAACCAACACAAATTATTGTAGTTTGAAAAAACAAGTTTCCTTTTAACGTTTCCAAAATATTTTCATGATTTGTCTTAAGTATCTGTCAATCTTAAACCTCAACATTTGCTCGCTGTTTTACAGGTTGTGCGTGTCTGCCCCAGCGCTACATCTTGTCTGTCTACATAGTCGTGGGTCTCATAACATGCTACCTGATGCGAGTCTCTGTGAACCTCGCGCTCAACGAGATGGCGTTCAAACTAAACACAACCAAGACGAGTTCCAACTCCAGCGAGGAGACAGTCGGAACAATCTGTCCGCTCATCGAGCCTAAGTCTAACACAACGTTGGATAAAGTGAGTCAACTCATTATTAATTATTATTGACAAATTTAAAAGTGGTAAATGTTCCTCGTACTTTATAATTTGTATGTTGAGGAATCTACCTTTTGTTTCTATTGTTAAATACACATTCATATTGAGTGTTTATAATTTACTACACATCAGGAATGTAGTTTAACAATGAGTGCAGAATGACTTAGACTATAATTTTTGTTTTCCATTCAGATCAACTGATATTATGGCTGGACTAATAAAAGCCCAACGATGAAGAACAAATGGTTCCAGTTTCTATTATAAGATTACAATTTATTCATATAGTTGTTGTATTTATGACACTAGCCTAAATAAGATTTGTTTTGTTTCAAGGTTTCAAAGGTAAATATCGCAGTTTGGTAAGCTTAATCAATGATTTTTGCTTGATGCTTCCATAAACTCCACTAAACCTGCTTCATGCCTCCTTATCTTTATATTTATGCATGCTTGTTTTAAGTATCATTTACCTTGGCACACGATTTCTTCATGAAGCTCCACTATGCTTTCTTCTGGATTAATCTTCTCTCAAGATTATTATTACAACTTGAAATTCACTCTTCTGAAACGACAAAGTAGAAAAACTCTACCTCTTTAGGTGCATGAACTGCTTATAGCAACACGTAAAATTCCTAAAACTTTATTGGATGGTATCGTTTCTCCCATTTGGCATTTCAAAATTAAAAAAAAAAACTAAATATTTTTTTGACATTACAGCTTGTTTTCAGAGATGCTATGGTGTAAGCATTCAGGAGTAATAATCTCATTTTTCTTAGATACATTACATCAATTCCTTTTCTTTCTTTCTTTTTTTTCCTAAAACTACTTTGATTCTTTTAACACTTGCTTTTCAAATATGATGTGTTGATTTCATTTTTGGTCAGAATGGACATAAATGGAGGTTTGTTGCATGAATTAAATTATCATTATTGTGTGTATTAGTTTTTAAGTTTTGTCTGGGGATTATATGTTTCTAAGTTTGTTTTCTTTTTGTTGGTGTTAGTATAGGTTCATAATAAAATCACAATACAAGTTATTTTAAATATCTGTTTAGTTTTAAGCGTAGTTTTATTAGAACTTTCTCAAGTTTATATATTTGTTCCTCATATAAGATAATTATATTCGGTTTAAATGTTCTACCCTAATCTTTCACTCTTTTTTAGAACAGTATGGTAAATATCCTTGGTGGTGGTGAGTTAAGCATGTGTGTGTGTCCAGTTTTGTAATTATTTTTGAATACCTACTGAAAAACACAATAAAAATGGTAACTGACATGACAGGGAAGTTAAACTAACCTCCTAACTATAAACAAACGTACGTGTAAGTTCGACTTACCTTGTCATGTACAAGTATTAACAGCATCTAAATACTAACAGAAATTTACCTGCTTAAGTAGCTTTGTTTACTTTACTTGAATAAATCTAATGAACTTGTTTAGTATTTGACGAGCGTGTTTTTATGTGGCTTTATAGAATAAATAGATGTATTTCAGATACAATTGTATTTCCCAATTTTATGACAGAGACTTTAACTGTCTTGTTTCCTTATGCACATTAAAAACCACAACAATTAACCAAAACCAAATTAACCAAAAATTACAGGTTTGTAATTTTACCAACATAAATTATACTATGTAATCTTAAATAAAATTTACAGTTTGATTAGATCCATCATTTTATTAACTGCATGATTATGATAAACCTTTTTTTATGGGAGGAGGTAAAAATTTATTTACGAGTGAAAATTTAAAAACGTACGTTTTCAGGAAAAGCACTTTGCAAATTTTGTTCCCCTTTTTTCAAAACTTTTATTATTTTTTTATTTCATTAACATTTGAAGTTTCATAAAATGTCCATGGTAACGCAATATCTTTGGTAGTTTTTTTTAAAAAAGAGCATCTTTAGTGGAAAAACACAAAATCCTGTCACGACCATAACGGACGTTTAAATGAATATTAAAAATGGTTAATATTATTTTTATAACTATGTTTTGCTATAAACTAATTTACTTTTATGACCATTATACAATAAAAAGGTCACTGAGCTTTTGGTATATTTGGTCTTTCTAGAAAAAAATAAAAAAACTCAAAAAATTGAAAATAAGCCAATAAAATCTTTTTAAGTTTGTATAACTCCGAAAAAACTTACCTGAGACCCGAAAAATCGTTATGTTTGTATAGAGGTGTGGTTCTTTTGTGTATAAAACATTGAAATATGATGATATTTTAATTTTTGAAATTTTTATGATAGAAATCATAAACGTGATGGTCAGGGAAAAGCGGTACGGTCGTGAATTGTCTGGAATAATCTAAATCTTTCTAAACAATCCTTTAATTATACTGTTAGTTATAATAAAAATATGTGTTTCAATTGAACTAAACTGTTCAATTTACAATTATATTAAAGTTATTGTCACGACCAAACACACTATAATCCATAAGGCTGGATTGGTCGTGAAAAAACCCACGATGGTCGTGAAACTTTGGTCGTGAAATTACATGTTATTTGGCTCTGTTCTGGCGGTAGCCCTGCACCTCATGTTCGAGGATACAAAGTGGACTTCTAGGTTAATCTAGCAATTGAAATATCTATTAAACAAAAATTAACACCATGTCTACTTCATCGAATGACTACGTACGGTCATGGACACACCAAAATTACAAAAAACACAATCTTTCCTTTATTAATATTGTAATTCCTCCTTTCAACTCAAAACTACCGGCACTACAATCCTGACGTACACCCCGAACTAGTCTCTAAAACCAACTGACTCCATCGACGCCAGGCTTGCCACTGTCGTGCTCCAAAGTTGAAAATCTTTCCCAAATGGTCGTGACGCCAAATCGATGGACAGACTTATTTTGTCATGGTAGTCAGTTTGCAATGACAATAAAATGATAATATGCTCCTTTTATGTAAATTTAATAACCATTGATGACATAAAAATATGGCTTTATATATTTCGGCATGAATAATTAGTCTAAAAACAGAGTGAAAGTTGGAAAATGTACCCTAGGGACACGTCATGGTCGTGAATTTCGAGATTTTAAAAATACAAAAAAAAATACCTAGAACCTATTTAAAACCAAATAAATGTGTGTAATATGTTGCCCCCATCCCAAAAAATATTAAAACACATAATAATAAACTACAAATCCAGTATCTACAAAGTAAAAGGCCAGGGACATGTAAACGTACTTTTTTAAATTTTCACTCTTACGCACACTGAGATGCTCAATGGCCTCTCAGTAGTGCCGGAATCCTGCAGGCTCAATGTCCCGGACTACCGGCTAATAACCCCTCATCTCTTAGGACACTAGCCTAGAACTGTTTAACGCTTTACTTTGGGCTAGGTCTTTTAAACTATGCCACTAGGGCGTTCCTTCTTATTTCCTCCGAAAGCTACGACCCATCAAGATCGACCTCCTTAGCCCAAAGTATGGTCTCGGTGAACTTCTTTACACAGTTCCAGGTTCCCTACCCCTGGAGCAAAGCTCTAACGATGTTGATGATAAACCTCTACATCTCCAACCATAACCAACTGCATTTTTTTAAAGTATATGCTTAACCTGATCAGCTCCAAAGTTGTAATAGTTATCACAGCTATTTCAGCATCACGATGCTATCACGCAGCCTCCTCGAGGTTAAAACACATAACACACGACGAATATTCACATCACGATTAAACATTACAAAAACAAACAGGCCTTTTGGCAAAGGCAATTTTTGACAAAGCCATTATGTGCTTCTGGCTTTGTATTAATTCTCATTGTTGTCTACTGTAGCCATATTTCAATAATACTGTTTTAGCCAAATAATTGTTTTCATTTAAAAAATTTAGAAACACCTTTTCTAATGTGTAAAATGTATATGTAAAAGAACATTTTGTATAAATGAAACATGTCTTTCTAATCCAGCCTCATTGTAGGCGGAGTTTCACTGGGATCAGCACATGCAGCACAACATTATCAAGTCACTATACGTCGGCTACATCGTGGCTCACCTGCCCGCGGGTATACTGGCCGACAAGTTCGGAGGCAAACACGTCTTCGGCGCAGGCATCCTGGTGTCGTCCTTCCTCTCGCTTACGTTCCCGACACTCGCCAGAATCAGTCCATGGGCGTTCATAGCTGGCAGGATAGTGCAGGGGTTCGGACAGGTGAGGGTCTGGAAATGATGTTTAGGTTATGGATTGTGGAAAAAATATTATTTGATAATACAAGTAGTTTTTATTATGGATTCCTTTTCTTATGTGGGTAAAATTGGTATAATGATGTAGATTTATTTGTTGTTTTATTTTATTTGGTGTGTTGTTATTAAGTTTATTTTGTTTGAGGATTATTGAATACATTTTTCATAATTAATTACTAAAAATAAATTAAAAATTTAATTTAATTTAATTTAAATTTGGCTAGCAATAATTCTGAAAGATCTTCCTTTTACCATGATATTACCAGGTTCTACTATCATTACAAATTTGTTTTTGGTACATTGAACCAATTTGCCCTTCTGAATGGACTACTACACTCAGATATAAAAACCATTGACATTAATTTATCATAAGAGAATGATGATTAACATTCCTTTATAAATAGATTATAAAACCTACGTTTCTTTGAATCTATTGGTTCATGCTAAAAGACAAAATTAGCCCAGTCATATTAGAGTCCAGTTCTCGCAGCTAGTCTGGGCGCGTGGACCCTTGTGTACTAACCGTCCCCACGCCAAAGCCATGAAGACAGCAGTGAGGCGCTGAACAACCCCAGTGTGCCGTGTGGGCCGAATGTTTTTGGAAATGTGCAATAAACACTCCCCTCTACACCCCCTGCCCTAGCGCGGCCGCGCGCCCAGCCTAGCTGCGAGAACTGTAATTAGGTGGAAATAATTCCCTAAACGGGAAAACTTTGCATAATATGTGTAGAACTTGCACCCAGTAACAACATATTAAAAATCAACATTCGTGCATACTGTGATTTTTCACTTTTTTGACCATATTTCACTAACTGTCGGAAATACAGAAATGTTGTTGAGTTAAAGAATGTGAAATTTGTTGATACTAATCTATAGTATCACCAGGTGGTCTTTTCCATTTTTAATAAATTAATGGGAGAAAGTATGTCAGATTGCTGATACCGTTTATTTATAAATTTAAATTTAATGGTAATTTTCCAAAAAAACCAATAAAATAGTGGAAAAATAATATTTTTACAAAAACAGCTTATATCATTTTGATTATAATTTTGCATGTTATACCGTAGTCCTTTAAACTTTTAAAAAATAGTACAACTCCCATTTCTGTAAAAATTACAGTTCAAAAGTTGTTGTAGTTTATGTGTTTCTCCCATAAAAACACCCCATCAAATAACTTATACTTAGACACACATACTTAGACATCATCTGTGAAACCACTCTTTTTGTTATATGGGGACCCAAAACGGATATATCCACTCAAAACTCTAACTCAAAAATTTTGACGAAAACAATACTTTCTCCATACTATGTATAGGGGGAGAAAGTAAAGTTAAAGAAATATTAATTTCAATTTTTCTCAATAATTGTATAGGACAAAAGTTATGAGGATCAAAAAGATGGATTTTTGTATGTTCTTTATCTTTTGTTCCAACAATATTTCCGTATTTCCAATGGCTATAGTGAAATACGGTCAAAAAGTGGAAATTGGCTGCTATGTTGATTTTCAATAATGTTGTTACTGGGGGTGTACTATGCATATGCAAAGTTTCCCCGTTTAGGGAATTATTTCTAGGTAGAGGGGTATTTTATCTAATATGACTGGACTAAATAGCAAGTCTCAATAAGCTCTACTTACAACATAGTTTATCTTTATTGTCTTGTAACAGGTATTGATAGTTTGTGGTTTTTGTGAAATTGAAACATTTGGAAACTTGAAACTTGTGTTGTAGGGAGTTATGTTTCCTAGCATGAGCGCGCTCGTTGCAAAGTGGGCTCCTCCAAATGAGCGTGCTACAATGACCGGAATAGTACAATCAGGTTTGTCTACATCATTTGTCTACAATTGTTCAATAGTTAGTTAAATTTTGTTATATTTTACATATACAACCTTTTTTTGCAAGGAATCAAATTTGTAATTTTAAGCTTTAAAAGTAGGCAGTAACTTATGTACGTACCAAGACATTTGCTGAAGTAGACTTTCTATCTGCTATTACTTTCTTCTTTTGTGGGGTTGTTTTACATGCTGAAGAATTTCATAGTATGATTTAAATAAACTACAATAATATTAGGCTATAATGACACTTAAATAATTAGATGAAAAAGTAAGCAACAGTTTTACTACATTCTTGATCATTTTTAAAACTACCGCTTTTAATGATTAACAGAAAACAAAGCTAAATTAACTACAAAGGTGATGATAGAAAAAATAACATACTATAATCAATGCCATCCATCAAACGCTAGATGACTTCCATTCAATCAAACTGATCAACTCTGTCTGCGCAGGTGTGATGATCGGGAACGCCGTCGGCTATATAGTCTCAGGTCTGATTCTGTCGTCATTCGACGGCTGGGAGCCTGTGTTCTACTTCTGCGGTGTTCTCGGACTGCTGTGGTGTGCAGGCTGGTACACACTCTGCTACAGCTCCCCTGCGGAACACCCTTTTATCACTGAGAGGGAGAAGAACATGATTGAGACACAGATAGCACTCACAGCCAAAGCAGTGAGTTAATTAATATGAAATGTATACAGAATTCTTTTTATACCTTCATGTCAGCTTCCACTACAGTTTTTCACTTAACTCTTCACTCGACACTACATTATACATAACTCTTTGTGCATTTACTCACGTCTGCAAAGATTTTTCTGTTTAAAAATTGAAGATCAGCTTTTAATTATTAGTTTTTATCATTTAAGTATTATATTTTATAACCTCTAAATCACTATCAGCTGTTTATTAAAGTAAACTAATGTGTAATTTTTTAGTGTTTTTTTGATAATGACCATTTTTTACTGCTTACTTTTTGAAGTTGCTACTTATTAAAGTAATAAATTAGAGTGTTCATAGATCTGACTGTAGGAAATTTTTTAACAAATATTGTGTTTTCCAGAAACCCAAGCACATTCCCTGGAGCAGTATTCTAACCTCTCTGCCGTTCTTGTCGGCCATCATGGTCAACTTTGCACATGCCTGGGCTCTGTTTACCATGATCAACGAAATGCCTTCCTACATGGGGAAAGTTCTGCACTTTGACATCAAAAAAGTAAGAGAGAGTCATTTTCATGCGAGATTTAGTTAGATTAAACAGTCAAACTTGGATATAAAACCGTGCATTAATTTTTTTGCATATTTGAAGAGTACTGGTAATTCCAATGAAAATTGTTTTAAAGTTTTATTTCTGAGTTTCTATATAAACAGGTGTTTTAAATTAATTTATGTACAATGTTATTTCTTGTTTAGAAAATATCTTAAATTAAAGTTTTTAGCGAGGAATAGTGAGGTTTTCTGTTTCTGCAATAATTAATTGGTATTTGCTTCAGAACATCACCATCATGGTTAAGTTTTTCTTTCATCGTGTAATGTGTAATTGGCTAAATATATTTAGAATGTGTATGTTGTAAAGGCAGAAAATATTTTTTCCTACGACTGCATGGAAATGATTACATTGCCACATCTGTCAACAGTACACAAAATAACTCATTTCCACTAAATCAGCTGATTTCATTGTTGGTGTTTCTAAAAAAACACTAACATTTGGTTTGAAGCAAATAACATAACCTAAAATACCCCCGCCGCAGCAAACCTGCAGACTAAGCGAATTTCAACTTTTCTGATTACATTTTTACTCAAATATTTCCATAAATAAGACATATTATTTATTCCCTATTTAAATAACATTAAATTTAACAAGTGCTTAGGTTTGCTGCTACGGGGAAGGTAAAAAGTGTTTTTTGACCATACGTGAATAGTATGGGATGAAATAAATAAATTTGCCAAATTTTATCAATATATATCCATAAACAAGTAAACTACAACAATTTTTATTTTCTCCATAAGAATAACATGGGAATTTAAAATTAAACTATTTTTGAATTTTCTCCGTGACCGTTAGGCATACAACAGCGCTTCAATATACTAAATTATTTCTTTTTTTAAGCTCTACAAAACGGTTTACAAATAAATTGCAAAATTTTTTGTTTTTCGGGTAAAAAATGGGGAAAACACATTTTTACCCCATAAAACCCCCCATAAACCCCTGTTCCCATAGTCCGATTATGCTGGATCGCGAACTCGTTCGAATAAACGTAGGTTTACACGTTTGTACCAAATTTCATCAAAATCGTATCATTTTTGCTCGAGTTATCGCGCTAACGGACACATATATATATATATATGTAAATGCATTATTAAAACTAAGTACCCTTTTTTTTAATTCATTTTATTTAACAACGACTAAAGTCAGTCATCAAAACCTATGAAATCATATGATTGTATTTATTATTTAGATAAAATGTTTATTGTATTTGTTAGATATAAAAACAACATGACTATGACATAATCGTCGAAACTAGTCGTTGTTAAATAAAATTAATTAAAAAAAAGGGTACTTAGTTTTAATAATGCATTTACATATCAAAATAGTAGCCCTAATCACTACAGTTTTCCTAATATATAAATATATATATAAATATATATATATATATATATATATATATATGAATTTGAACGGATGGTGTTTTTGGCCTCTAGGGACCTCAAAATGAAAAAGTAAATCGGTCCCGCGTCCAGGTCTTACCATGAGTACTACGGTAATAGCTTATTCCCTATATGGGAAATTCGCTAAAAAGCTAACACATAAATGATGATTCATATACAACTAAAAACTTTTGTCTGTGTATTATGAAAAGGTAATTCTGGTGGTAGGAAAAATATTGTGTGTATTACAAAGCTCAGTCGTTGTTGCTCTCGACACGTGTTCTCGAGCGACAATGCTGTACTTTGCGCTAATTCACAAATAGCAATTTTACTGTAAGATTTTTTAAATTTCACACTTGTTTGTACATTGCTGTAACCGCAACGTTGTTTTGCAGAGTGGGTTCTTCTCTGCTACTCCCCATATTGCCATGATTCCCACGTCCATCATCTCTGGCTACTTGGCTGACTGGCTTATCACCAAGAAGTACATGGCTGTCACCACCAACAGGAAGGTGTTCTCTTTCTTGGGTGAGTGAATCATTTGTTCGGTCTGTTGTTTTTGAATATGTGAATCAGTGGTCGGGTACAGAGAGTTGTTCTTGAGTGAACGGAACTGTGGTTAGGAACAGAGGAATTGTCTAAAGTGTATGAATCATTGATCAGGAACAGAGAATTGTGAGAGTGTGAATCTGTTACAAGTTTTTGAGTCGGTGAGTGAATGAGTAGTTTAGTCTAGAGTAGTTCTTAAGTGTGTAGAACATTGGTTCAGTGCAAAGAGTTTTTCTTGAGTGTGTGCACCAAGTGGTCAGGAACAGAGAATTAGTTGGTGACGGGTGAACGCATGGTTCAATCTGTCTGCGCTGAGTGTTTGGATCAGTGATTAGAAAAAAAGAGTTGGTCTTTAGTGAATTGGTAGTTAGGTACAGAGAAGATCAGATAGTTTACATTAAAAAATGCCGATTGATTTTTATTCACTTGTTCTTGTTAACATGGAGAAGTTATTATCTTATCTCAATGATTGATAATTGATAATTGACATTTTTTTTATTGTTCTCTCTCTACCAACTTTTGTCTTTACTTGCAGCCAATGCACTGCCTATCCCCTTCATGCTGCTGGCCTCCTACGCAGCCTGTGATCGCACCTCGGTCATTCTTTTCTTCATGTGCATGATGTTCTTTAAGGGTCTATCCTACTCAAGTGTCCGTGCCAACCCAGTAGATCTTAGCCCCAACTACGCTGGGGTGCTCATGGGAATCATGAATGGATCAGGAGCGTTGGCTGGACTCTTGTCTCCCATATTTGTACCCATGTTTATCACCGGGGTGAGTTAACGTTTTGCTTAAAGAAATTAGTACAAAATTCCAAATGCTATTTTTTTTTGTTGTAAAGGGTTTTTTTTTATTTCACTTAGTGGAAGCACTATAATTTAATAATCTGGGTAGCCACATGGTTGTAGTGCTCTTTCAAATCCAGGGGATGATTGTTTTATCCTTAGCTGGACCCAGAGATGACATTTTGCTATCAATTAATAATACGCTCTCTAGCGTCAAAACTAGGGTTTGGACGATTTCCTTACAATAAACCTGTAAATAATGCCAATTTTGTGTAAAAAACAATTTTACTGTAATATTGATTAAAATTTGTAATATTGAGATGGTTTCTTATGGACTACTCGCTGCAAAAGAAAACATCTTTAATTTTTATTTACTGGTAGCAAACAGAGATATGACCAGTGTATGATCTCACCATATTTGGTGTTGTGGTTGGTGTCAAGTTTCATTCTTTGAAAACTTTTCAGATACGCAAAGAGTAAACAAAAACGTCATGATTTCAGTTTGAGCTATTGTTTGTTTTGAAGTAAATAGATTGAAAAATAAGGAATGTATTTGACTTTTTACATCGACCTTGAAATATTGATCCAGTTTGTCAAGAACTTGTCAGTATGGCTTTGGAAAGAGCCATATCACTTAAAGGATTCATCTGCTGGTTTTTGTTATTTATTCCTACAGTCCCTATTCAAAACTTGCTTTTCAGTTGAGTCAGGATCAACTTAAATACCTAAAATAACGTGTTTTTGTCCTAATTGTTTTTTTTTTTATTCTGAGGAGGACCCGTTGACCTTTTACCCCCTAATAATCATTTCCTGGGTACGTATCTGAGGACTATCAATTACTAGTCACTTAACACGTTCGCGGCGGCACGTCAAATGGCGGGCGTATCCCCAGTGCGGCGCAGCCCTCAGCGCCGAACAAACCCGATTGCCGCGTGTGATTGGCTTTCCAATTTCGGTCTGACAAATAGCAAATAACGTGCGAGGATGTCCTACTTTACAACGAGTCAACATAGTTCGCTAAACAACCACAGATAGCAGCTCTGCTTGGAACGTAGCCGATCCCATTGGAATTGTATTGCCAAATGGAGGGAAAAAGACGGGACAAAAAGTAGATTTTAAAATTGCCAAACGGGGATTTTACGGGGAACTTTACTACTAAACTACACCACAACAAAATACAGTATACTATTGAGCAGTGCTGTGCGAGGTTTCAAGTTTCTAGCTCTAATCCTGGCTTAAAAATAAAATCTTTTCGTACCGCATTGCAGCTTGGGAGCGATCGCACCCACCTGGATGGCATTAGGGTTCCGTATGGGAGCGATCGCTCCCATGCCGCCGCGAACGCGTCAATTGGCATCACTAGACCCAATCTGAGATGACTGATGTAAAGAATATAACCAGTATTACATATATTTTATTAATTTACAATCTCGTAGATAATGCACCAAGCTTTACACAATACAATTATTGCCTAAAAATATACTTTTTCAAATATCAAATCTTATCCATCACTGGGAATGGTCCACAAAGAGTAGGAAGGAAATATTAAATGAGAGAATACGTTGTGGGGTACATTGAATTAAAGGTATCTGTTGGAAAAACCACCACTAATGATCAGTCAATCAAAGTAAATAGCTAACTCGTAAAATTGTTTTTCTAGACATACAGTTTTTTCACATGTTGCATCAACTTATCTGTTCACAGGATGGAAGCATAGAAGAGTGGAGGAATGTTTTCTACATGGCTGCCATTGTGATGGTGGTCTTCTCCATTCCGTTCATCTTCTTCGGTTCAGGCGAAGTTCAACCTTGGAACAACGCTGAGACGATGGACCGACCGGAAGATCCTACGCCAAAAGTTGAAGATCAAGAGACGAAAACATGACTTCCCAGTTGAACCTCTGTTTTGCATAATTTCTTACCATTCTGAGGGTCAACAAGCCCTTGGAAATTGTACTTAACAGAGAATCAATCTTGAGAAGCAATGCTTCTCTTTGTAAAAAGTTCCTCATTTCATTTTGTAAATTCTTTCCCAAGTCGATTGTTGAGTATTATGTGACTTAGTTGTAGTTATCGTGATTAAGTACGCTTTTGTATGTTAACGATTGAAAATAAAATTTTCAACGTATTTTCTCGTTTTATTTTTTTCTATTACACTTAAGTTTGATTCATTGCTTTGACATTATTTTGTTAATTTACCCATCAAAAAAGCAATGTGAACCATTTAAAGGGGCTTTTTCACAAAATTAAGGCATATGTGGATTCTTTCCTTTACCTTAAGTGAATTTCTGGTATTAAAACTCTTGATGCAATTGTCAAATAATCAGATAATTCATTTCTTTAGTGACTTATTTTAATCATCGTTTACTTTAGTAAAGATGGCGTGGCATGGCAGAACAACCGAAAAGCGCTCAGGGTGCCATTATGTCATTCCAATGCTTTAGACCATACAGGTACTACTGGAACTTATAAATTTAAATTTTAAATCATTTTATATAAAAAAAGGATCTTAGTCAGTAATATTTTTTAGAAAAAACTCATTGGGAAATATTGATATGTAAACATTAATAATAAGCGTAGTAAATTAAAGCAAAATCGACATAATTTTTATAGAAAAAGGTAGGAACAAATGTGTAAAAAGTAGGACTTTTCCTATTTTTCTACAAAAAAGTAGGAAATGTAGGACGACTTGGAGGCCTGGGTCTATGTAAGGGATTATTCCTTTACTGTAAAACCCCCTAATTAAAGGGATGGGGCTTTTTCAATTCAACAATTGTGTTTAAATTATTTATTTTACTGTCATCCTAAAATGTACGTACTCACCATAAGTTGTATTTACTAAACCTATTTCCTAAAATAATCCACAGTTGTTTTCTGAACCTAATCTCTATCCCAGTATGAGACCCATGACCTTGTGTGCTTCGTTACATTCCGTTGGTCAACTACCCCACTGCAGACAATTCCTGTTACACAGCTAATCTTCCAATAAATTTCAATTTAAGATTATATTTTTGCTTTAAGCTGGGTTTTCCTAGGCGAGGAGTCGGCGAGCGGAGAGCGGAATTGAAATTAACATGGCGTTCCGCTCCGCTTTTAGGAAAACAGTAACATTAAATTTCCTAAAAGGCAAGTGGAGTCCGCGTTCCTCTCTCCGCTCGCCGACTCCGTGCCTAGGAAAACCCGGCTTTAACAAGCTTTTGGTTTAACAGGGTGCTTTACTGTGTTTAATCTTTGGTAAAATATTCACAGAGATAACTATAAAATGGAATATTGTAGAATCAAGTGATGAAGCACTTGGATGGCATGACATATCATAAAGTGGGGGGGAGACAACAAAAAGGCATGGCTTTCTTCAGCCTAGAATACCATAGGAGGTATAACAGGTCCTGAAATTATGAAGCTTAGAGAAGATTAGATTAAGAATTAAGGACCAGTCAGAAGCACAGTTGTAGTAAGTGGAAGGTTTGGTAATGTGGCAAGGCTAGAGCAGTTTGTGAAGTTTGGGTTGTTGAATCAGTGCAAAGGTAGGCATTACAGGTCCTGAATAAATTATGAAGCTTAGAGAAGATTATAAATTAAGGACCAGTCAGAAGCACAGTTGTAGTAAGTGGAAGGTTTGGTAATGTGGCGAGGCTAGAGCAGTTTGTGAAGTTTGGGTTGTTGAATCAGTGCAAAGGTAGGCATCAGTTTTGGGTCAGAGAAAGAAGGTGGGAAGCAAGGCAAAGAGACTGACGAAGGCTTTGAAAATAACGCAGAGGTCAGAAATTGATACAAGGAGTTGGGCAAAGGTTATATCAGCAGATTACCGAGGACTACAGTGAATGTGGAGTAGAGCGATGCTGGGTGAACCATGGACCTGACCTTTTGCACAGCAACTCCGTATTTTCTGACATATTTACTGGACTAAAAGGTAATACACTATTCAAGATAACTCAGCATCGTACATGTTGTTAAATTACCTGAAAGTACAAAAATACTTCAATTGACACTTGTAACAATATATTTACACATACTGTTACTCATAAGACGGTAAATGCATCCTGATTATTAGACCAATTTGTAAATTACAAGGCAAATGTGGTTCGGATTCCTTCCACTATAAATTGTAGGTCCCTTAGATGCTATTAGCTGTATGGGCTATTAATTAACAGTCCTGTCTAAAGAATATGTCGGCCTTAGTCAGTAACAAGACTACAAGATTGCACCTCTCATCCTACAATAATTTCCATTCATACTTGGCTTAAGGGTGCGCTCTACCTCTGCCGTTTTGTGTAAACGCAAGGGTCTGGGGCAACAGTGTTTCCTAGGGCTACATTTAACGTAGAATCAAAGTTAGGGTGTCATTTTGAAGAGGATTAAATCATCTAAATTATTGTGGTTGCAAAATGTTTATTATTGTACGATAAAGACCGAAAATCTTCTTTTGAATGTAGACGAAAAACGGAATTGTTACTTTAAAATTCTGAAACGGGGGTCGCATAGATTATTTTTTGTTCTGTAAAACCCCACTCATTGTTTTTACTAGCATGTATGGGTAGTTTACAAAGGTAGTTGCCGTGAACGTCTGCAAGCGCATCTCGCGGCACTATTCATTGGCACAACATAGCAACTGAAGCCTGAGCTGAGATTTCCGAGCTGAGGTAGAGCGCCCTTAAAATACCTAACTTCGTATGGTCGCCATTTCAGATAAAAGTAACTTATTAAAGTATTGCGACCTTTTGGGATTGCACCAGTTGAAAAGAAAATACAGAAGATCACAATTTGAAACAGGTGGCTGAAAATAAAAAGTTTTGAATATTAATAAAACTTTAAAAATTTATTGAATGATGGTCCAATCAAAGATTAGCAATAACTATTTGACAAGTTTTCATAGTTTGAAAAACAGCAATTCCAACAATCACAGTAAAGAGTGAAAAACATTAACAATTCAACCTTTGGCCTAAACTAGAAAAAAGTGCACTTTGAGTGAAAGGGTAACAAATACTGACAACAATAAATAGAATGAGATAATATAAAACATAATATATAGATAAAACAATGACTACAATATAACAAATGTGATGATAAAGACTCAACTGTTGGTGTAACCAAATGATTAAATAGTGTTTAAACAGCTATAAAATATTAACCTAATAAAGCTATAAAATTTATAAAATCCTAATGGTTAAATCGAGCAATGTGCCTTTTAAGGTGGCCAACCTGTTTAAAGCTGAAGTCACACCGATCACACTTATACTTCCTATTGCCTTCGTGGGAAATCACATGCATTTTTAATGTGACTTTTTTTCCGCAGGTGAAGTCACATAACGAACACTTTAACGAGTCACGCGAATGGATCTTGGTGTGTTTCACGAGCGATTCTTTCTTCATGAACTGTTTTTCGCATTGTGTGCATTTAAATATTTCTTCTCTCTTGCTCACTTTTTCCGGTTCTCTTTTCTTCTTCTCATGGCGTTCAAGGTGTCTCACGAAATAGCGCCGGATAGGAAATATTTTGTTGCATATTGTACATTGGTACCCTTTTGAGCGACTGTGAACAGACATGTGGGCCAAAAGCTCTCTTTGAGTTTTAAAGCTGTAAAAACATTTAGAACAGTAAAAAACATGTTCTTGGACTTTATGGAGTTTTAAGATTGCCTCATTTTCAAAATCCACTTTACATTCGACACACCAATGAACAGACCTGGTGCAATCTTTGTGGAGGAGTTCATAATGATTACGTAACTCACCTATAGTCCCTTTATATACACAATGAATACAATTGTAAAAATGATTCTGTTCTTCCGGAACCTGGTCGGTTTGTTCATTTGACTCATCAGTTGTCTGGCCTTCATTTGAACAATCCTCTTCTTCATCAATCAAGCTCTCACAGAATTCTATCGGCAAATGTTCTTCAAGCTCTTCTTCATCGCTATGGTGACTTTCGTTTGTGATGTCTTCTTCCAGCCGAATGTCTAAGTCAACTGGTACATTGTATGCCCGCTTGAGTTCAAAAAGGTCCACATCTAGCATAGGTGTAGTTTTAGGTTTCGGTTCATTTTTACTTGGGAAGTAAAATTGTAAAGCAGATGCCAAAAGAGAATCATCCAGACGATTGAAAGCATTGTTACAATCCATTTTCACTATTCCAATCAAGTGTTGTAATCTTCCATCGGGAAGAACTGAAACATAACACAAAAATTAGTGAACTGTTGGCATGAGTAAAACTGTTTAAAATGGCTAGGACTATACATTCCAGTCCCATGTTGAAATTGTAGTTGATTTGATTGTGTAGGATTGTTTATCTCATAGATAACTCATGGATTTCATTGGGTTAATCTTGCCTAAACACAGAGGTGTTACCTTACAAAAAAATATAACACCATCTGAGATATAAATGTATGCCTAAATAAAAAGAGCTCTTCACAAACTCAGAGAGAGTTGGTACAATAGAGAGAGTTAATTAATATAGAGTGTTAATATAACCATAATGATATAACACTGTTACCAGTGGCGTTTGTATCCTACTTTGAGCCAAAAATGACATGTTTGTGTTGGGATGGAGGAACTAATAGCCGTACAAAAACACTTAAATATACTACTTTTTTGTTCTTCAAGCTCGTTAAAATGGTCTAAAGAAAAATTGGGATATTTTGTGTTTTGTGGGTCAAAAATGAGAAAACCCTTTTTTTACCCCATAAAAACCATTCCCATGAGTTCTTCACGAACTCAATTAAGTTTATCCTGCTCTACACCTTTAAGCCAAATTTCATCAAAATCGGACAAAAATTACTCAAATTATAGCGTTCACAGATAGATATATATAATAAACATGTATAACATATTAACTTATGTTCTTTTGCCCTCTGGGAACATCAAATCAGAAAAGTAAATCGTTCCTGGGTCCAGATCTTACCACAAGACCTACGGTAATAGCTTTATTCTCTATATTTGCGCACATGTCTAAAGAGAGCGTCTCGGATGCTAGCAGCCTAGTTAAATGCGCCGAATTTGAACCAATGCCCCACAACCGATTTTGTGCATCCCGGGAGGCAAAAAGGAACCAGACGCTCAAATTTCACGCACATAATCGGGCGGCCAGTGGCTTTTTTAGCATCCGACGCTGGCATCCCTAGTCTAATCACCCCTATTTGATTTAATGCCCCGCTAGCATCCCGGATGCCAGCGTCCTAGTATAACCGTATCCTAGCCTAATACCTGAACTTTTACCTAAACTACTTAAACTTTTACCTAAACACTTCGGCCAAAACTTCTGTGAGCGCGGACGGTCGCTACTAGCCAAACTAAAACCGACCGGTAACGGTTATTGGCTGTGCTGGGGGTAGGAGTGAGTGAGTAGCAAGACACAAACGTTTTCAAAAAAGTACCCCCGCCAACCCCCTCCACCTAGACCCGACTGACACCGAGCGACCTTGGCCGAACTGTAACAAGGCGCTGACCTCTCACGCCGCACACAACCCCCACTGAACACTTAAAAAAACTCATGTTTGAGATACTTCCGCCTTACCAAAAATCTAACGATTTAAAACTCCAAAACTAACGAATATATTATCTATTCGTTACCAATTAACTGAATATAAACTATTTCCAGTACATTTTAAAAATGAACGAAGATGATCTAGAAATTAGTAAGCCGAAAAAACTGACGAACATTGCCATTCGTTAGAATTTCTATTCGTTATTCCCAAGGATGCAAAACAGTAACTGCAAGCCACTATTAACTTAGGATTACGCCTTAACCCCACCCCCAAGGTCAATGTCATCAACTGGACAAGGGCTATGTAGTTCTGTCGTGTCTGCCTAGCAGCCTGTGTCGGATTGTCCTGTGACTAAGTGTGGCAGGCCTCGTGTTAAAAAAAAAGTTTTTCATTTTTTCTGTAGGCCTAAATGTTGATATAGGCTACTGAAATTGTACTAAGTTTACTTATGTTATAACTTATTGAAATTTTTTACCTTATCTACGAAAATTAAGCTATTTTAAGCACTTTTTTCCTTTGGCACATTTGGGGGAAACACCTATATCACCCTGAAAATTGTTAAGCGATTTTATGCGCTCGAACAACTTTTTTTACTTTCAATTGTATTTTTCATTTTATTTAGGCCATTTCAAACACTTTTTTGCCCACTTGCACTATTTCGGCAAACACCTATATAGGTAGGTAACCCCAAAAAATGTATTTGAAAATTGTGAAAAGCGTTAAGTTGACATTGATTTAATTACCTAAAAACTATTACAATTAAATTGCTAAATATGGGCATATTTGACCGGTAAGTTTCAATAACTTAATACTACCTAACCTAAAGGCGGTGACACACTATCGATCTTTTCCCCGATCAAGACCCCGAACCGAGCAGGGAGAAGGGAGAAGGGAGATAAATATCAGCAAAATTTTACTCCGAACATTTCCCCGAACATGACCAAGACCAGACGAATTCTACCGAGCGCGGCAAAAGGAAGTTTGGAGAGAGATAGAGAGTGTGTGCGAGTGAGAGCGCGGAGGCAGTGCCGTGGAAGAGGGAGGGGGGTGCATTGACCTTGCTGTTATTGTTATTATTTACCAAAAAATGCGTAATCACAAACAGTTGAGTCTTTGACTGTCGTATAAAATATTAAGGTATGAAGTTGTTGTTGTTGTTGTAACGATTATTGCATATTCTATTTAAAAATAGTGTTCAATGTAAATAATTAAACAAGTTATTAGATAGGAACCTTTTATAGTTTTAGCAAATTTCCCTATAAGTTGTTACAATATATAAACTAATAACTTCATTGATAGTGTAAATCAAATAAGGAAAATGGAATTCGATTAGTCTGCAGGTTTGCTGCGGAAGGGGTATTAATACCAATACTTTACACTCTTATATATTATTTTTGAAAGAATTTAAGTCAACATCAATTACTTAATTCAACCTTAATATTATTGATATAATTGATTTAACGGTTTCTACACTTTCAACCTTGACCAAACAAACCACAAACATTACATCTAAATGATTATAATATATAACGGCAACATATTACCCAACATTTATTTATTTTACCAATTAAAGAGTTTAATTGCCATATTAAATCAGAACTATCAATGCTAGCACAGGCGGCCGCTCGGTGCGGCGCTCGCGACGATGTACGGGACAAAAATGTACCGTGACACACTATCGTACATCGGACCGTACATCGGACCGATCTTTTCTTTGATCTTTCGCCAAAAAACCGCCTCCAGAGCGCTCGTCTCCCTGCTCGGCCTGATGTCTTGTTCGGCGTCTTGATCGGTGTACGGACCCGTGACACACTATCGAACATCCTCCCTTCGACCTCCCTTCTCCCTGCTCGGTTCGGGGTCTTGTTCGGGGAAAAGATCCATAGTGTGTCACCGTCTTAAAGTTTATCTAAAAACGGACATTTTCGGCACTTTGCTAACCTAAGCATGGATTAGGTTGGGTTGGATTAAGTTAGGTTGGATTATAGATACTGTACTTATACACAGTTTTATTTTATACGTGCGTGTAGTCTTTGTTTTTGTGTCTTTTTTTCTGTATTAAACAACGACGCAGTCTATTCCCTCACCAGAGGGTCAACGACGAAGATTTTGTAATGTAATAGTAATGTAATGACTTAATTTCGTTTACCCACAAATTGGTCTTTTTCGGCACTTTGCTATTTTTTACGACTTTTCAGGCCAGTTTTTCTGGGTAAAAACGACATTTGCCGAAAGTTTCAGAACGAAAAAGGTTTGAAATGGCCTAAATAACTTAAACAAGGAAAACACATAAAAGAAAAAAAGGGTACCTAATTAAGTTAGGGGTATTTAGGTCATTAGCCTATGGAAAAAAAATTTTCACTTTTGCAAGTAGGCCTAGTCACTACGTCCAAATAATGGTACCAAAAAAAGTTGATTTTTAGCGCTTTTTGCAATCAAACGCGATTTTCAGGGTGAAATAAGTTAACTTAGTTGTTTCCCCCAAGGTTCAAAGTAAAAAAGTGCTTAAACTTAAAATACCGGTAGCCTAATTTTGATAGATAAAGGTGCCGGTAAGTTATAACTTAAAATGACCCGAAACTAGTTATCCCCAGAGTACCCTACCTACCTAATTCGTTTCAATTCATATAACTTAGGTGACTTTATTCATATCAGTACAGGACTAACTTAAGTTACTATAGCCTATATTTAAGTTAATGTAGGCCTTACCTAAATACCAAAAAGCTCATCATGTGAAAATAAAAACCCTAGTTTTTGCAATTTGTTTCTATCATAGACTACAACCCCGAGGTATTTTTAAAAGAAGAGTTCGTAACCTACCCAATTTTAGATAAATAGTGCAATAGCTATTTTTCAAACACATAAAATATATGCACTAACCTAGCTAGCTTAGGCCTAAGTTATAAGGTTGGAACAACTTTAAAAACGTCAAAGTTCTATGATGTATCAGGCTTACATTTTATTGCATGGTTCATGTTGATAGCTTAATGTTTCATGGGAAATTACCCATTAATAAATAACCACAGTTATGCCTACATTTATAAAATTGGTAAAGCCCAGCCTAGGCCTAGCTTTGTTGCCCTAGACATAACTTAAATTACCTACAGAGCTTTGGAATTTGGGTCCAATTTACAAAAACAGACAATAAAAATAAGTTAAGAAGCCTACAAATGAATACATTTTGGATGAATCTAACTAAGTTTCAAATTAAATTGTTAATCTATTACTCGACGGCTCAGTAGGGTGCAAGGGAACAAGCTAGGGCCTATGTATTTTCTTCCAGAGAAAGACTACTTAAAAATGAAGAGTGCACTGATGATAGCTTAACACACGTTTGTTTCTGTAATTAATTACGTGTTACAATTAATTCTTAATATAGACAGATATAAAAATATTTACCTGCGACAGAAATAAAATTAAGAAACTAACCCTAGTTTTGTTGTTGCCTGTAAAAATACATAAAAATCAGCTGTAATATTTCATTTAATTAATTTTTAGGAGGACGAGGAGGAGAGAAGAAGTAGTAAGTAGTAAGAAGTACAAAATTTGGAAATCAGCTGTGTTCAATTCAATAACTGAACAGTGTAGCCACCCCACTCTATGTGAAATTAAATTATTCCATAGATTAAATATACTCCCTAAGGGAGTATGTTTAATCCCCTTTAATCACGGCCGCCTTTAACTCCAGGCCGCGGCCTTCGAAGTGGCAAAGTGGCAAGTGGTGTTGTAACAGCTGTTTTGTTTGGAAGCAGCTAATGGTATTTATGTATTTACAAAATATTGGTTACTGGCATCGATCTCTAGAGATCGATGGTTACTGGACTATGACAATATTTACTCCGCTTAAATTGTACAGATATATATTTTTAATTCACATTGTTTCGGTTTTTAATTCTGTATGTTTTATTTTCAATATTATAATAAATTTATGTTCATACATTTAAATTTAAATCAATAAAGTGGGAAATAATGAGCTGATGTCACCTGTCTGCCATGTTATCTTATGGGTCGTCTGTCACTAAACAACGCCACTTGTGACGTTGCCAATTCAAAGTGCAATTCAACCAGGCCGCGGCCTCTAGTTAAAGGTGGCCATGCTTTAATCCCCCTCTATGTGAAATTAAATTTTACCATAGATTAGCCGATTTTGATTGAAAGTTTTGGATCTTTTCTCAACAGACTGGTAATCCCAATGCTGTACTTTCTCCCTTCCTCCCACCACTTGCCTATGACAAGAGTCCCTCCCATGGCAAGCTAAAGGGAGAAAGTATGTGTCAAATTACTGATTCCGTTTATTACTCAAATTTCATAAACAGTACATATTTTTACTACCCATTTAAATAGCATAGATTTAACGATTGCTTAGGTTTGCTGCTGCGAAGAAAGTCAAGAGTTTCAATCAATACACACAATAGCTTATAATGGAAATTTACCATTTCCATGTTTTATGGGAAAGAATTTGACATAAACGGTACTGGTATCAGCAATCTGACACTTAACTTGTTCCCCTTTAGCTTGTAAATAACCCTTATCGTGGGTAAGCGGTGGGAGTACCTAAATATCAGATGCAGATATTTGCATATTTCATAGGGAAATCTACCATCGTTGCAATCGCTTTTGAGTTGAGATTTTTGCAGCAATCGCGGGAGTTTTACTATTTTGTTTAAAATTAGAAGGTCAATAACATAATAATCAGATTTTCCGTTATTTTATGTGGAAATAGCATAAAGTTACAATAGTTTATTCAGAATATTATAAGGTCTATAACATACCTACCTACTAAAATTTTATCAAAATTGTTAATGCTATTTTTGAGGAAATTTGATTTTTCTGTTAATTCATGAGATTTTATGGGAGAAATCACCATTAAAAATCACAAATTGCGCCTGGAGATACCATGGATTTTAGTCTGTTTTGAAAATTTCAAATACCGGTACACATAAAAACGGTGTTTTTCATATTTAAGAAACAAATTTGGTATCAAAAGAAAGCTTAATGCCCTCTTTGAAAGCAATACAAATTTTTGTTCTTTAACTCACTGTAGTTTTCATTTAAATAATTGTGTTATTTAAGCATGTTGTAAAAATAGCATTTTAGAAAAGGGACCTCTTGTCGGCCCTATTTTATTTCTCCATTAGATAAGAAAAGGTACCTCTTGTCGGTTTTCATTAGACTCTCAAATCCGCGAAAGAGGGCGGTCAGGTTACATCCATAGTGAACTCAGCTTTGCCCAGGGGGTAAATTTTGGTGACCCATAAAACCTAATATTAGGGAATAAAGCTGACATTTTACAGGAATACTTTCACTGAAAACCTTATCAGGCAAATGAAAATTATCTTAGACTGAGGGTTTTCTGAGGCGGGGCAATAATTTTATAATAAAGGTAATATTTTACCACAACTTTACTTTCCATAAACACTTTACTTGCAGCTTAAATACAATAGGAACAATTAAAAAAAAAATAATCAGAAACCAACATTTTATTGAAAAAAGGTAGTACAGTACTGTATTTCAATACATACAACTTTACCCTACCTACAGCTTAAGGTCATTGAAGCTAAAGCCAAACTTTAGGACTAGGTCTTCAATTACGGTAAAGTCTTATGTTAAATGTAAACCCTTTTTGATAACAAATATACCATACTTTAGTTTAATAGCTAACTAACCATTTAGCAGCGAGGATTTGGGAGAGGGATTTTATATAGAAGTCAGAATTGAACGGTTTATGCAATGTTAAAAAGCTACATAGTTGATTAAATAGCCTAAATTTAGGAATTTATACAACATCTAACTTAGTAGCTAGAAGGCTATTAAAGTATTTCATCACACAATACATAAAGAAAAATCCTATACTCTAATACAAGCTATGTCCCTACAGCCCTACAGAAAAAAGGCAGCTGAAAGATTAGCAGTTTCAGCAATCGAGGCGGTTCAAGCAGTGACGAGAGCGGCTCTAAACAGCATTCCGCAAATTGACTTCCATTGGTCTTTTGAGTATTAGGAAAGTGTAATGATACCTGAAATAATTTGTTATTTTTCCAACCAGGCCCAATACTTAATGAATTTGACCATGTAGATTATTTTTTATTTGTTATGAAGAGCGTTGTTATTATTAATTTGAACTCTATAACATGACAATAGAAAAACACAAGGTAAAAATTAAAATTGATTGTTTTCATTATGATTGTTAAAGCATGGGTTAAAAGAGTGTGTGTTGAATTCAATTTTGCAAATTTCAAATTTCCATAGTTTCTCAATTTAAATTTAAATTTAAACTTTCTCAATTACTGGCATTTTGTAATCTCACCATCTTCAGAAACCTTAGTTATATGAACATTGCAATTTATTCATACAAGTTCTACATGAAATACAATACATAATGGAATGATACAATTACAACTTACATTTTATAAACCCCAACATACTGTCACAATAACATTACCAAAAGTAAGTGACTATGAATGTGTCCCGTTCTTCCCAGATTGGTTTACCTGCTATAACCTTTGTGAAGGCACGATTTACATCTGTACACTCAGGCAAAGTTACACCAGTTTTAAAAGAGGAGAATTGATTCAACCTCCAAACGGTTGAAGAATTTACAAGCTTATTATTTATAGCTTGGGTTGAATTTATTTTTAAAAAAAGTCCCTTCCCAAAAACACAAAAATCATTGACTTCAGAGCCTGTAGTATCTTCCAAAATAGCTCCAGATGGACAGAAAACAGAGCACAAAACAGTTTTATAATCTTGAGGCATCATTTGTCTGGAGTTTGGTCTCTGGCTTGTGACTTGTTTAACAGCTTTTGGCATTTTAAACAGAAAACATGAATCATTTATGATCTGAATCGTCCCTTTAGAGGGTAACTTATGTAATAGATGTCCAGATCTGTAGTTGTAAACTCTGACACCAGAAACCTCATATGGATTATTCACATCACAGTCTGAAAGAGCCAAAAAATTTTCAGTTATTGCACAGTAGTTGAAGGAATCTAGTTCAAAACCAATTAAAAACTGGGGAAAAACTGAAAAAGTTTGCTTGAAGGGTAAGAAACATAGTTGATGTACATTATAAACTCGACATGTCACTGTCACTATTCCAGTAAGATTGGATAGCATTTTATTGGGAAGGAGTACTAGGATATCTTCACATGTTTTGGATCCAGTTTTACATCCTACAATACTCAACCCCCCTTCTAGCAAGCTTGTAGAACAACATTCCTTTCTTAGTTCCACTCCATTTTCCAAATCCCATATGTAGAAAGAGTCATTTTCTTTACAAAACCAATAATGGCCAATACACTTTCCTCCAGGAGTAATTATTAGATCAAATTGGTCCATAGAATCAAAATTGTTCAATACTTTTTTATTGCTGGACACAAGTTTAAATGAATAATCAAAGTTCAATTCTACCTGCCATTTATAATTGATAGTGCCTTGGGCTAGATCTACTTTAAAATTTTTAATAAAATCTCCTTCAAAATTAAAACCCTTTAAAATAATGATTTCATTATTTAAGGCCCTGGGTGTATAAGAACATATTTCACCAAACAGTAGTAAATCCTTTAGAGTAGGGAGGTAGGTTTTCAAGTCCAACAGTTCCATTGAGTCATCACAAAACACCATTATCAAGTCATTAGTGACAAACAGCTCTGGGGAGGCTTTAGCTTTGTCCATTTTGTGTTCTACAATTTTACAGTTGCCGGTTCGCCAGTTCTTCCACAGATGTTGTTCCCGCAGGTAAGCTGTTCGCCACTGACTGAGAGGAGCTAGAGAGCAGTGTTGTTCAGGTAGAGAGAACTGTGGCTCTACGACACACGGAGTAGTCCTCAGATGCTCTTCTAACTCGGAATCACACAGTGCTTTCCAAACCTAAAAATAATTTTAGTTAAATATTTGTGTATACAAAGTATAATTATTAATGCTAGTTAAACCAAGTAAAGAACTTGTACTGATTTCCAAGGCAAGGAAAGAAAATGTAATTTGAATCCAGTAAAATTTCTAACAATCCAGTAGAAGTAACATAGTGTAGAGCCGAGTTGAAATAGTTGTACCATAGATAAAACATACTCCCTTAGTAGATTTATCATCCTTATTGATGCCAATTTTATTGCTTGTCCTGTATGGTGCACTGTAGAGGTCGTGTTTTGATTACAATTTGTTTCTTGTTATTTCAGTCATTTAAAACTCGTTTAACCAAATATGATCTAATCATAAACAATAACTCGTACCCAAGTTATATAACCAAACAGTAAAGCTCAAATCAAGAAATAATACCCTAAAATAATAGAACGAAATTTTTTTCAACACTAGCACCCAGTGTCACCTTACATGATCTAGACACAAAAAACTAGCTTCAAAATTTACAATGGGATGAGAAGTCTACTTGGGTTGGTTATTCTTTGGTTTTACTCTGGCATAAGGAATATTTTGAGGTATCATTCCTACAAATCACTGAGAAAGGTCATTCCTCATATTTGTGGATGCTATCACTAGTTTTTGTGTGT